TGTGACAGAAAAAATCCTAAAAAGGTATAAATTATTTGAATGTTTAAATAAATGAGAAAGCATAATTTATGGTGACGAATGAAGGCAGTTCTAGGGGCTGAAAAAAAATATTGACAAAATTCAGCGAAGCATTGGTACATCCACCCTAGCTAGACTTTTAACTTGCGATTAACTCCTGGAACAGGTAATAGACAAACAAAAACCATTTATTCTACCTGAGCTTTAGTCCCCGGGAAGGAGATAAATTTGGCCGACTAATAGACCATTAAATCCGTTAAAATTACAGGGCTGACTTGCTAGTATTTGTAGTCCCTAATTTACCACCTGGAGGGTCAAATTAATATCTCATGATTGTTAACGATGACAACAGACCTGTCGATAAATTACTCGGCTCGTTAATCAGCGATATCACCTAGTGTTTCACCTCTTGAGATGACAAGTGGAGGGGATTGTCCTACCAGTGAGAAATAGGCGTTCAATTGACGTCTGGGTACATAAATTTTCGTCCAACTGATGGATTTTGATCGAGTCAACTTGAAGGTCGTTAACTTTCCACCCACTCTCTGGTGGTGGTTTACCAGTGGTTGTGGACTTCTTTCTCCCCTTCGATATTCTGCCTCCGGGCAATTTAACTCCACCACCCAAATACGACACATTAATGACCACGAGGGGATGTCTGCTGTGACTTCACCAGTCTACCGAGACAATTGTCCTTCAATTGAAAACAAATGTTGTTTCAAACCGATGTGCTCTTTTTTTATCCTCTTCCCGAAATCAATCGCTCACTGAAAAATTTATCTGATCTGCGATAAATTTAGCAAGAAAAATTTTTAAAAACATTTCCTCTCATTTCTCATGTGTCATTTCTCCTCAATAATTTTAACCAGCGGACAACGATGGAATTGTGAAGAAAAATCGCAACGTCAACAATTTTTTTAACTGAAAAAAATTAATGTTGACGAGTCTTGATTATGGAACCTAATTGAGTCGTGTTGACCGAGCAAAGTGGTCTCGGTCTTTTCCACGTACCCAATTGGCAAACACAATACTGTTTTTTCACTTCCCCATTCCTCCGTTGTTATTTCAGAGTCGCTCCACTGAACGAGAATGACTTACGGATTAGTTACACGAATTTATTCGTGTAATGTAATCCGAGAAAATGCTCTCATTCACTGGATTTTTCGCTCAGTGCCCTGATATCTTCGCGCGTAACTATGAGCAACTGAGCGTTAAGTGAAACTCTTTGAACTTGAGCTTTTTCAGGGATTTCTCTTCTGGTTCTTTAGGGCTGTTTTTATTCTACCTTGACTGGGAAATGCCGCTGAGGCGCCAAAAGACGAGCCCCTCGGGAAAATTCCTCCTGTTTGCGGTTGCAATGTATGCACCCTCCTGCATATGTTACTTCAATCAGCATTTTTGCATAGTTTCCTTCATTCGGTGTCTCCTCTACTTCACCCGAAGAGGAAAAAACAGGAAAAATTTCGCATCAATTTTCCTCCTGCAACTATTTTTTTTTTCCAGCGTGTAATCCTCCCATTATTTAACTACCAAAAAATAAAAGAGAAATAAACAATTTTTCATCTACTTGTTTCTCTGTAGGACAATCCCATTAAAGTTTCAATTTTAAAAAGTAAATTGGTAATGAAATTAGAATAAAGTCAGTGAAAGTCAGTGAAAGTTTTGGATGAGGAAATTATTTAAAATAATAAAAATGTAAAAATGGAGTCGATGAAGGAGAAAATCTCTATTGAAATTGAAGTTTAAACATTTGATCGACGTGAATGTCAAGGGAGAAAAGATTCGTGCCGCCGTTACCTCCGGGGGTTTTTGAATCGGCAAAGGCCAAGGGAGTATATATACAAGGGGTTCGGTGGTAGGCAAACCCATTACTATGATTATTATCCTCGTGGCCACGATCGCAAAAGGAGTATATTCCATATCCGTTTTAGCCGCAGCTTCTGCAGTTCCATACAGTTCCCTTCTATAGACTCACTTTCCTAACTCCCTTCTCTCTCCGTCTATAGAAAAATAATGTTGTGTGCACAGCCTATCCTCACCCTCGTCTCTCATTCTTCATCCTCTTCTCTACAAAATTCTCACTCAATTGACGAGAATAAAAGATTTTTTAAGCGAAATTATTTCAATCCCCGAATTATCCCGAGTCGAAAAATCTCATACACTAGATTAATTTATAATTAATTCCTTGTCATTCCCAAAAATCGGAATAAAATTCGATGCAGCCGATACTTCGATTAGGTTTTAATGCAATTAGTGGAAATTATTAGAGATTAATATTTCTTTGTGTGAATGATTTGAGATTTCGGGGAGAAATTTCGCAAAATGGACTGGACTGAAAGAAAAAAAAAAATAATAAATAAAAAAATTGGAAAGGGATGAAAATTACTCTGGCGGTATAATTTCCCTCTAATGCCCCACTCGAAGAGCAGCTGGCTTTTCAGCCAATGACAGCAGTGGAGCCCTGTAAAAAATTTTTTTTTTCTTCTCTCCTTTTTATTCTGTCTCTTCTGCTTTCACCCCCTGTCCCTGTCATGGCGCGCCCTCACCACTCTCAACTTTTGTGCAACAGTAGCGATAATAATAACAACAGCGTTAACAATACGAGGAGTGGCTGGCCAGTAACAATGGGATACTGCACTTAGAAGTAACAATGCCGACGACAAAATGGAGGGACCGCATCTGTGTACCGTGATATCAGGCGCTTTCGGACGGAATCGAGAGGAGAAATGATGGAGAAATCGTCTGTCCCTGTGCCATTTGTCACGTTTTGATTGATCGCACGTGTTATCCAATAATAACGAAATCAATCCTTTCTTCGCGATAAATCTGTACCATTTGTCTTTCACACCGAATTATAGAAAATGATAAAATTCCGTATACGTGACCCATCGGAAATTTTTACGGAAAAATTTTATTAAAACTTTAAACAATTACAATTTTTCATCGATGTTATGTCGTTTTTATTTAGGTTTCCGGTAGAAGGGTTTCCAGAAATTTTTATTGTTCTAATTTGTTGTAATTTTTCAATGAAAATTTTGCAAAATCCAATTTCGAAATAGATGAATTGTAAATGAGGTACCAGTACGTAATATTTGTCGTTATTGTTACTAATTATTTAATAATTCATCACCGAATGATAATAATACATTTTTTTGTTGAAAATTGCGGATAAAATTCAGGGAAATTTCATCGGTATTTTGGAGTACGGTTTTTTTTTAAATGTTTATATTCGTCGAGCTTCGACATGAATTTAATTCTCATCTGTACCAATACCCAGCGCTCATTGCGATCAATAATCCGTAAAAAATCTCAATACACTCGATATCGAAGGGATTAATCTGTATTAAATTTCGGATAATTAGATAACCCATGATACCATTCCCATTATCCCCACCACGATAAAGAGAGAATAGCGATTAAATTTCAAAGTCCTAATAAAATTCAATTTGTCGATAACAATTCCAGAAAAATGCATACCACTGTAATTACAAATTGAATTCAAATTTCCGACAACACATCACAAATTCGGACGGATAAATGTTAAAACATAAATTCGAGCGATTGTAATGGTTCGATAATTGATAAAAAAAAATTATTGCAATTGCAAAAAAACCCCCGGTAAAAAATAAAAAAAATAAAATAAAAGCCAAAACAAAAAAAAAAAAATAATAATAAAAAACTCACATCGCGAATTGCCGAATACGAGAGAGAGTGAGAGAGTAAGAGGTACCAGGGTGAAGTACATTCGAGTGAAGGATAGATACTTCACATTGACTCCTCGATGAGATCCGTTACATCGACGGCTCATTAATTCAAAGACGATCCTCCAACTGTGCTTGCCTCGAGTTTTCCACTTGTACCCCCTCTCAATTTTCCATTCTCATTCCCCTTTTCGCATCATGAGTAAAACTGCACCATCTTATTTACCCCGACAAGTTAGCCACCCAGAAATCTAGTGCATTTCAATCTGATTGCTGTGAGACATGTTATGACGTGACGTGCCTTTTTCAAGTGACAGAGAATGCCCTCGAGAAATTGTAAAACGTAGAGCCTATTTTGAGTGGCTGAGAGGTAGATAGTTGTCCATAGAAAGGACGATGGATTATAACACGTCCGAGTGTCTCGTTTGGTCGCTATTTGTCCCCGGAAGTTTCAGTCCTCAAGTTAGACCCTCGTATCTTTTCCTGATGGCTCGTTATCGAGAAACCTTCAAAGCCTTTCTGATTGCAATCACATCGGTCTTGTTTGCCCGAAAAATGTCCAACTGTACGAAAGAATTCCTGACGACAATCCAACGAATTCGGTGATACTCCCCATTCCACAGACGATTCAGACATCATGTGATGCCTCAGACGAGAGACAGACGACATAGGGGAGACCCCAGGATACAAGCAATGAGTGGCTCGACAATTATTTCGTCAGACTTCAAAATGAAAGGCTCAATTACAGACAAAAAATTATTTTACAACGACAAAGTTCCTCCACCAGTTATGCTTGCCAGATTGAATCTAAAATAACTGGCGTTGATGGAAAACTCGGATAGCTCGAATTTCGGATAAATGTCTATATGAAATAATTTGGAATTGAACTGGTATTGGACGAACGAAATATCGTCGGAATTTATCGGCAGTTTGGGAATCTACAGGAGCGAAATCATCCCCAATGCCGAATGAGATCGATCGAATTAGTTCGATACCTGTCTGTACACTCGTCTGATGGATTTCACATACCTGCAGCGACCCACCCCCCGAGCAATTAATCTGCCGGGCAGTAATTGATCCTTGACACCAGAAGAGGGGCCAGTCCTCAAACCTATCGTATTACCTAATATTGCTGACTACACATAGTTCAAGAACCTTTGAACCCCGAGAATTTCCGCAGCATTGTGCTACCATAGGTGTCTATCATATCACAATTCTCATAGTCTATGTGATACTTTGTACAATAATCATACGTCGTAATTGACAAAGAGATGATAAGAGTTGACAGAGTAAAATAATAAATTCTGTGTTATGTCTTACCTGGGTGGGTGTCAGATGAATGAGCGAAGCAAGATGCTCTCGCTCAGGCGCGCTGAGGTACTTTTGCTGCTTGAATCGCCTCTCGAGCTCGTAAACCTGTGCCTGTGTGAAGAGTACACGTCGTTTTCTCCTCTGTGCCAGAGGGAATTGCATAGCACCAACACCCATACCAACACCAACTCCAACGCCAACGCCCATACCCGATGATTTACCAACGTCGGCCATTGACTGCCCAACTGAACATCCAGCCATGTTACCACCACCAGCTGCACCCATCAGTCTTGATACTGCGTAACATATTTTTTTAAAACAAATACATTCGTTATTACATTTATTATCACTCATTATAACTATTCGATATGTCATTATATGTCATTATATGTCATTACGTGTCATTATGTGCATGATGCTATTTGGAGATGGGGCAATGATCATTGGGCTTTTGATATTTTGTCGATATACCTCGGAGTCATAAAAAATTATAAAGGTCCTCATTGAAATAGATGTCAACCCATCTATCATCACTTCTCCATGAGCATTTGGACAAATCATTATGGATATCGTTGCAGAATTTGAATTTGATCAGTGCTCCTGATCTCTTCGTAATTTTGCTTCAGTGTTCTCATCTATCATGGGAACATTCTTGACTCACCAAGCGGTTGTAGGCGTTGAAAACAAAATAAAGATGATGATGAATCAAATGTAACTGGAATCTCAAAGTTTCAGGCTACTGAGACAAGGCACCCCTCGTCACCGTCCAAGACCCGTCAAATTGACTCTAAAGGTGAGTCTGAATACCCAATGTTTAAGAAAATAGAAAATGCAGTGTCATGGCTGCACATGGGAGGTCCGACGGGAATCTGAATTATTATAATCACAGTGCTTGAGTCAGGTTCTTCAAAAGCGACGGAGAGAAAAAAAAAACTTGAAGAGGGATATAACATCTTCTTTTGAGACGGAAACATTTATCCTTTTTGACATGTCATGTCAATGAAACTGAAAATATTGTCAGATTTTTTTATTAAATTGCACAATCGATTTTCCAATGAAAGACATGTTCGATCCGATAGGAGACCCTACCAGAGCTCCTGTCCATATTTGTTTAACTGAAATCCCCGATTTCGCTCACTTGCCACGCGTCAGCGAATCGATACTCGATTCGGACATCAATGAAGGTGTGTATTTCGTGTCTGAACCAAAGATGCTGAAGATTTACCAACGGGGGATGTGAGTTGGAGAAATGTATTGACACAGCGACGGCATGCGCTGAGGATATTCTTTCAAATATCTGTGGACAGTGAAAGACGAGACCTTACCGAAATCTAACCGAAACCTTAACTTCTTTAACGTCCCTTGTGTGTGGCTACCTCTTTTCTCATATTTTTAGGGGCTCGATGACACTGGGTTTGTCACATAGATGAAATCGATCTATTAGACCCTTTTCTGAAGTACACGAAATGTCAAAACATTTTTATATCTATTGAAGATTACCAGCAGACTGGTAATTCAACAATCATTGCCACAATTATATTTATCGATTATGAATAACAATTGCAGGGAAATTAATATAGAATAACAATTATTTTGTCAAGGATTTTAAATTAAATGGTAATGATGTATGACGGAAAGGTGAAGTTATACTCACTGGCAAATCTGGGATCATTGGTAGTGGTTGGAGCTGGTGCATACCACGGATGATGATGCGACGAAACGGCATGCGATCTCATGGGGTCGGATCCCGTGTGAACGCCTCCACCAACCCCAGGACCCCCATGATGATAAGGCGATAATTCAGCGGTGCAGTACTGATACTGTGAGGTAATCTGCATTGTGGCATACGGATTGCCCATAGCACTCATACCTCCGCCATTGCCAATAGCTGGTCCAGTGCTACTGCCATTGGCTCCACTGACGGGGCCTGGTGTACTGCCACCAGGAGTCGAGCCACCGTGAAGGGGTGGACTTCCACTGCTTGCACTTGAGCTACCAGTGTTACCCACCCTGGCGCCACATGTGTTGGTGTACGGTGATCCCTGGGGATGGGAGATAATGCCAACGCCGACGGCAGCTAGCTCGAGTTTTCGATATGATTCCTCAATCGGCGATAGAATATCCGTGACACTGAATGGTGTTGTATGAGCACCACCACCTGGTACGTGGGAGGCATGTTGTTTTGGTGATAAACTCATCGCCAGGTCGACACCATTGAGGTCCGGTAGAAGACCCGTTTGCTCCATTTGATTCTGCTGCTGCTGCTGCTGCTGGTGCTGATGATAGCTCGTTGCATTGTTGCTACCCTGGCTACCTCCACTGGCTCCACCACTGCCGCCGCTCATCTCGGCGAATTTCACTTCGTCCAGGTACTTCAGTGTCGCGGCTTGTGAAGATGATGTTCTCAAAAAATATACTTATCCGTCTAGATAAGTTGAGCTGAATTAATCAGTACTGGCATTCCGCTGTTGTCATAAGATACTATTGATTTGTACAAAAACATCCTTCACAATAACACCAATCACCATTCAGATTTGATTTCTGTATGCAATCACCAACACCATGTTCCACTGTTCACTTAAATTAAACTGCGAGAAACAAAACTAAAACCGAATAAATCCTCACTGGGTGTCAAAGGCAAACGCTGAAGCCACTGATGTGTCATCAAGCGTCCTGATGATCAACATCAGTGTTGATACCATGTTCTCCAGGAGAATCAAACACTTCACTGGATTGTGCAACCGTTGCTATCACAGGGGAAAATAGGTAAATGATAAAAAAACTATTAATGAGATGATAAATTGTGGAGATTTGCTTTTGGAGGTAGTGGCCGGCTGAGCCGGCCGACGGCCGACTGAAATCACCCAGTGGGTCTTTGAGTCCTTGGACTCTGCTCGATAGACGATGGGTAGATGTACCACTCAACTCTCTTCGCCTCCACCTTCACCGAGGATACACTCACTCTCCGTAGAGAGGAGCACCCGAGGTTTCTATGGATAGACGCGGATGGATGGGCTTAGGCTGCGTTGGGTTTGGATGGATGGATGAATGAATGGAGAGGACTGTTGGGTTCCTGGAGAGGTCCTCACGGCCGCTTAGACCCACTCGACCAACGTTTCGCCCTTGCCTCGGCTCCTCGCCTCGCTTGTTCGACCGATGGTGCCTACACACCAGTTTCGCCTCTCTCGCGTTATACCCGTAGCACGACACGATGAGTGGAGTACCCACTACGGAGAAGTGCCTGGTACCAAGAGTCGTGATGAGATGTCCCCTTTTGCATGTGAGAGGCCTATACGAGTTTTCAATGGTGAGAGGAGAGGGGGGGTCCAATGGGGGAGGGGAACGGTGACAGGGGGACTGGTGGTTGACGATAGGAGGTACCCCACCATTGGTTGGACTCGACCAATCGAAAGTCTGGCTGCGCGCTATTGGCTCTCGATTTTTGGTGGTGGTGGCACGGGGAATTGCGGGATTGGTTTGTGTTGTTGATGTCGAGGACTTCAGCTGCCTATCCGAATCGGCGCTCTCGTGAAGGGAGAGGAGTGGGGAATTAGATGACGCCATGGCCACCCAGAACTGGTACAGCCCACCTGAAAATTACCATCGCCGGTGAAAAATTCGAACGGCACGTGAGACGACATGGGGGTCTCGGGCTGGGAGATGTACTCCGTTCGTGAAAGTTGACGGAGTGGGTGGGGGGAGTAATTAGCTCTAGATTGGTCATCATGCGAGGAAAATGCCGCGGCATGGACCATTTTTTTTTCTCCTGGCCACTACAGATTGACCGGTTAAATAGAAAAATATGAAGTATTGTTTTTAATAAATTAATTAATAATTTAATAAACAATTGCATTCGTTCGGCGACGAATGCAATTATTTTTGATAATTGGGGGAATTTTTTTCTAATTTTTTTTCTGTTAAATGGAAGTGCTAATACTGTCGTTTCTGGAAAAGGCTAGATGGGTCCGTGTCAAGTGAATTTTTCAATTATACAGTTAAAAGAAGAATTGATCCGTAAATATGAATTTTTGCAAATTTTTTTGTAAACAAAAATATCGCGAAATCATCAGAAATTTTCTCGGAAATATTCATCATTGAGGGTAAAACATAAAATGGTAAACGAAATATTTTTTCGATTAATCCACCACTGTCTGGAGAATCTGCTGTACCGATCGGTATTTTCGGCAGATAATCTTTGAAGAATAAAATAGAAATCTACTGTGGTGCAATCACTGGAGGATAATTATTGCTGATGGATAAGATACCGGATATAGGTAATTCTCGAGAGTTGTATACCTCCACCTTGCATCGATTAATCGAATCAATAGCTCGAGACGATAGATACGCGTTATAATTTTCCATTTTCAGTCCCCGCGACAGGTTCCTCTGTAATTATGACAGAAATAGACGTCAAAGACACATTGCTCTGTTTTTCGGTGGGACCTTGTAACATCGGAAATTCTCAGTGGAGATAGCACAGTTACTCTTGTATGATTTATCGTTTTATCGTTGATTGTAGTGAGTACTGAACTGAGTGAGTGCAATGAACTTAACCACTTGATTCATCGAATTCCTGTGAAATAATATTTCTAATAATTCATAATTCAGTGAAAATATTGGAATGAGATTGGGCGTTCTATCCAGTGGGATTGACATAATTTTGTAATATTTTTTTCAATTTCTACTACTATTTTTGCTTAAATCTATTTATCAATGACACGAGTGACAGTTGAATCTGTCATCGCGTCGATATATCAGGGACGAAGGGGCGTAAGTGCTGTCGATTTACCATGCTCATACGCTTTTTCAGTTCTGAAGTGCGGAATTAATGGAAATGAGTCACAAAATCAGTTTTTATTCAAGAATGTCGTATTTATGGGAACTGAGTGTATTTTAGATTTATGGGCGGAGTTCACACTATTTTAGAATGGAACTCGGAATAGTTATCATTGAGGCACACGACTGTTTCCTATTGGATGGGAATTCTATTCGCGATTTGATCTTCCTAAGTCATAAGTGAAGATATTCTCGGGGTGAAAGTCATTATTAATAGACTGAAAATAGAATTATTTCCAATTATTTCTTTTCCATTTAAAAATTTTACTATTCAAGTAATTTTACTATTCAAATTTCGACAGTTCAGTTTCTATTTTTATTTTCCTCCCACGCAGGTACCTAAAACCATGTACTATATTCCGAATTTTCTATAAAATTTATCTCATTGAAATATTTCTGTAGAAATTCCCAGTTTTTTCTTTCACTGCTCTGTTCGTTGATTAAGCAATCTAAACCAGAGTCTTAAAATATTTTCAAAATGAATGGGGATGGGACAAAATATTTTGAATCACTTGCCTGGTATGTGACTAATCCAAAATTTAATAAGTATTCCATCACTAAATATTACATCTGTAAACGAGTGTTTCTTTCTCACAAAGTTTCCATATTGAATTATGTATTTTTATTTACCTTAGGGAGATGGTGAACCCCAGTTTATATACAATAATTCCAATGCACGAGCGTCCAGACTTGCTCAAGGAAACCTCAAGCCTCATCAATTCACAATGGCCTGCCAGTGAACGTAGACGGTGAGAAAAAGGAATATTGCATACTCCAATCAATTTTAATCACTCCAATTCCTATCGGTTTTTCTAGGAAATTTCTCGACTCGGATTTTTCATTCTATTTCTATTATTTACAGAATCCAAACACTGAAGGCTTCATGTGATAATTTCCCGATAAATTTGATACTTTTGAAAGATGACAGAGTAATCGGACACTGCAAAATATCGAAGATACCGGCAATGGAGGACAGTTGCTACATGGAAACTTGTAATTATCTTCATGACAACTGTCTCCAGAAAAATGAATTAGAAAAATTTTTCTGGAGACCATTAACTTGGCCGTTTTTAATGATTGGTCTGAATATCTGAATTGATTTCAGTTGTGATTGATCGTGAACACAGGTCCCAGGGGCTGGGCTCCAAGCTCCTCCAAGCAGCTGGAGACCTGATGTCAAAGAAGGGAATAAAGAATTCATTCCTCTCAACAAAAGGCCAAGAAAAATTTTATTCTAAAAATGGATATAGAGTCTGTGAAGCAACGGAAATACTGGCGACGTGGCGTCGGGGTCTTCCGGAGTTACCCTTTATCAAATCTAATTCATCATGTAAATTCTTTAGTCCACCACCACCACCAATGCCAAGGCATCGTTTCGTAACGCCGCAAACGGTTGTGCTTTATCCTGGAAGAACGCATATGCTAAAACATTTATAGTATTATCATCATTACCTCTGAAATATATATATATTTTTTTCAACCGATGATGCTTCATTACCTGCGTCTCGTACATGAAAATATTTTATCTCTCAAGTGCATTCGGCAATCCCACAAAGTTGTTGATGATGTTCTGATTGGTCCAAGCAGTCAACCAGAAATTTTCCAAGATCATGTTTCGATATCACACGCCCTGGGGATTCGTCGTGTTTTACTGTGAATTTTCCACCCGGAGTCTCTGTGAATATGGGGAAAGAGTTATCGCATTTAAAAGTTACATTCATTACTGATTGAGGAATTGATGAATTCACCTGCTATGCGAGGTGGAAAGACGGCAACCCACTTTAATTCACTCGCTTTCAGAACATTGAGCATCCTCTCGTGCTCATCGACGATGTCCTGAAAAATTCTTGGAATGTCATCCGGTTTATAAAAGAGGTACACTGATAAGCAGACTGATATCGCTTCCACATTAGTATTTTTCATGGCTGCGATGATGTTTTTCATGCCTTCAGACAGCACTGTTGTTGGACCTTGAAGATTAAAAATACGTTGATAGAAATTGGAAAATTGGAAAATCGAGGAGGTATAATAATAAATCTTTTAAATGAAAAGCAATAATTTTTATACTCAAGTCATTTCGGGTTCCCAATATTACAACAACACCCTCTTGACCAGCAACAGCATTTTCAACTTCCTCAGCATTCTGGACATCTCCAACAACAATATCTACCTTCCTACTCAAATGGTTCGGAATTTTTGCTTTATCACGCACAAACACTCGCACCTGAAGTCCTGTAAAATAACAATAAAAATTTCACCCATTGTCAACATCACGAGTCATTAATAATCCTGAGATAATTATTATCATTACCTTTTTCGACAGCGTACTCCAGGGCGCAAAGACCGGTCATCCCGGTGGACCCAAACATCACAACTTTCTTCATGGCGATTTGTAATGTGTTCCAACTATCCTATTCCGACGAAGAAGACACACCCTCTATAAAATCACGAAGCTCACACCACGTCACTACTGAGATTAAAAAACGGTAGGTTCACGCTGGGAAATCCCGCGACCGCTGTGTGATCGGTCCGGTAGGTGCTGACATCTGAAGGATTTTTGGATCATTTAATGATAACAGACTTGATAAGACTAAATACTCTCTCTCTTGATTGATCGAATAAAAAGACTCAAAATTTAATTTTTCATATCACATCACGCATGTGGAAATTTTTTTTAAATATTCCAAATTATCCAAATCAATTTTTTTATTTTAAATATGACGGGTAATTATAGAAAAAAAAAATTCAATAATAATAATATTAATTACACCATCAATATAAAAAAGTCAATTATAATTCATCATGTGTGGATGCGTAATGGAATTATTTCATTACAGATGACGTGTTTTTTTTAAATCTGCAAGATTATTCAATTGTTCAAAGAATCTTCATCCACGTCCCCGTCCTCATCCTCCTCATCCTCCCCGTCTTCGCTCTCCTCATCCTCCTCACCACCTAAAATGCACCCAATATTCAACTAAAATTCATAGACATCCATTCACTCATTGATCGTGTGAAATAATGAATGAAATTTCACCCGCATCAGCCAGTTTCGTGGGTGGCAAGTGGGCGATTCGATAAGCCTCTTCCGCTTCGAAGCTCGGCTCAATCATCTCCATGATCTCAGGGCCAACCTGATACTGCTCCTGCACAGCAGGCATCACCGGTGGTGCATAGGATTCGATGCTGAATTTATGGCCAGTCCCCACGTAAAAATTGCCGAATTTCCTGGACAACCGACGACAAGGAATAATCAAATTTTAAGAGAGGAGTCGATTGATCAGTGAAAAAAATAATTGATAGACTCTTTTTACTTGTCCTTGGCGAACGCAACAGCTCCTGGCCAGAGGTTGGACCTCACGACCGCGAATGCTGTATCTTCTTGGATTCTGGAGGACAAACGAGTGGTCCAGGGTGGAATCGTGCCAATCAGACTGTCTTCTGATAAAGGTGACAGTAGAGACGGCCCCGTTTCCTTGGGAATCTTTTTATCCTCGCTTTTTTCGGAGTCCTCCTCAGATTCATCTTCCTCTTCCTCTTCTTCTAGTTCTTCCTGTCTCGCAGCAGTAAAAAAATATATAATTATCGGTATTCCTAGATAAATCTAGATTGCCGATTTTTTACACGTGTTTTACTGTTTCAGGGCTGAATTCTCAGTCGATTACAACGAAAATCTAATCAACTTCCTATGACGAGTTGGAAAGTTTGCGCTTTTTTTTCGACGAATCACGCGATAAATGGATAAAGTATCAAATTAAACAGTTAGAATTCAGTCTATATTCATTCAGAAAAATTCGACTAAAATATCAATGAATTGCATTTTTTAAAAATAGCAATGTTATAAAAAAATTCATAAAAACAAAATTCCACTTCAATTATCCCATAAAAATCGTGAGAAATCAAACAATTGTTATTTTAAACATTCTTGAATATGGATTAATTAAAACATAAGAGTAATATCAAATTGAATTTCCGGGTTTTCCTATGATAAGTTGAAAACTTCTATCCTCCCATTTTTCCAGGAATTATACGATAACTGGAAAGATAATGGAGTTAAAAATAGTTGAAATGCAGTTCACCAAGTGAGAGACCCTGACAATGAATAAAAAATTAGTTAGGAGAGAGTAAGAAAATTTATTTAAGTGCATCCATGAATAGTTGATTCACCTGAGGTGATTCTTCACCCCCTGGATTCCACCAGATCGTTCGACCCTGTTCGAGGATGTAATCGACGTGGTGACACCAGTTGGCTAGAGATGAATCCGTCAGCTCTTTCGTGGGAAGGGGATCGTAATGAGGATTCACTGATATTTCTCCACCTTTAGGAATTTTATCGGTCAATAATTTTCATTTATTTAAATGGGATTGGCAGTTTTGAATGAATAAATCTTTGGACGAATGTAGTAAAAACCATTCTCATTCTCTTCCTCCTCCTCATCTATCTCCTCTTCTTCAATCTCTTCCTCATCCTTGCTAAATGTAAAATATCCAATTGGCGAGACTGAAGTACTTGCAGTGATTCTTGCAATCTGGGCCCTCAAATAATTCTTTTCAACTCCCGGATACGCCGGGTACGTGGAAATCTGGGAAAATTGAATTGAGCGTCAGACTGCGTCGAGCTGTGAATTTTTCATAAATAATTAATTGTTCTTACGGGGGTCTCCAGACACCCGGTGAAGTGACGGAGAATTTTCCGCGAGATGATGATTTGCTCTGGCGTGACTGGGGGGAGTTCTACCCAGGGATCCTGTCCCGGCGAATTGCAAATAAAATAAACCTGCAATAATTAACAACAAAGGATTAGATCAGCATCAAACATATGAAACCTTTGAATTTAATTCCTAAGGGAATAAGAAATAAAATATTTAAAATTAACAAAAATTAACAATCATTCACTTTTCTTGTCATGAATTTTTTCCATCTTTTAAAAAATATGCGTGGCGACTTCGAAATTGATTTTCTCATTTTTTTTTTTGCAACTTCACTTTTTTATTTGCTCCAGTTCCAATAGCTTCGCTCGGAATGACAACCCTCTCCTCACCCTCCTCCAACGCTGGAAACACGGATTCTAAAGTGCTCCTTTCATCCTCATAATCCTCTCCACTAACATTCGCACCAGAATCCTCAACGTCTCTTTCATCCTCATCAATAGTCTTCTCATTGCTCTCATCTCGCTTCTCGACCCCACCTGTCTCCAATTGCTTAACGAAAGTGGTGGATCATAAAAAAAAGTGAGGAGAAAGTAACGAGGAGAAGGATCTGCGAACCCTTTTGTTCCTCAATGATTTTTACAACTTCTCACCTCAAGACGACGTGAAATCTCCGACTGCGACAATTCTCCCTCTACTACATAGTAATTCAACGGTTTTCCAAGTATTTTACCCCAAAATCTGTCAATAATTATTTAATTGAATTAAGAAATAATAATTATCTCGTGACGCGGTGAACCAATATAAGTCGACTTAGCACCTCGATAAGTTGCACGGGAATATCACCGAAAATAACGAGAAATAAAAAATTTCTTCAATTACCTTTTTTGCAGGTCTCAATTAGACCTACAAAAAAGATTCTGATGAAAATTTTAGTAGGTCTGAAAGATCTCGAGATTTTCCTTGATTACTGGCCAATAACCGAATGGAGTTGATGTGATCTATTTTTTTGTCGTAATTTCATCTTTCACCTGACGTTGATGATCGGTTGTTCTCTCATGAGTCTCCTAATGGTCAAATTTAAGATTACAATATCAGACTTGGGAAAACCAACATCGATATTCTCGAGATAAGAAAATAAATCCATCAAGTCCGGCGGTACATTTTCAGTTTCATCGTTCAACTCATTTACATAATTCTCGTTCTCTCTCGGTACCTAGTAAAAAAAAAAGCCAGTATTATCTATTCATTCATAAACCTCACTCTGGGTTTAATCAGGCTTTGTCAGGTCTGGAATTAAAAAATAAAGGAAATAAAATACTCGGAAAAGTTTAATAAGCTTTTCCGCTTCGGTGTACTCGGGTGGTGGAAGGTACAGATCGTGAAGATTCGATTTTACTCTCAGTCTTTCTTCTTTTAATTCTTTACTGTAGTTTTCGAATAAGTCCACCGCATTCTTGGGCCTTTCTGATAGAATTTTCGCCAATAACTCTGATAAATGGTCGTACCTAAAAATGGAAAATTCATCAACTCAAAATTTGTCCTCTTCCACCCCTGAATATCAAAAAATATGACAGTACATTTGCATTAAAAAATTCCCTCGCAGAATCATAATCATAAGACACTTGAAGTTTTTTTTTTTTAATTAAAAAACGATGCACGTCTCTTTAATCATCAAAATTATTAAAATTCATTAACTCACAAACAATCACCAGACTCGCTGCTACGTCTCATGAGAAACATCTTGCCTCTTTGAATATCATGCTGAATCGCTGGCAATTCTGGTACAGGAGTTTCATCAATGTCATATGAATTAGCCATTACGATTACTAATCAATGGATTCCCCTCCCCCCAATGTCACTTGACAATGTTCATTAAATATCTCACACGCTCTATTGGAAAAACTGTGATAAAAACTCGAACGTACAAAAGCGGATGGAAATTTGACGTAAACTATCCTCTCGTATCTCATTTGTCTTTCTTCCACATTTTTTTTTCTCTTCTACACGAAAATGTCTCTCTCATCTACATCCGGTCACAGCTTTCGGGCTATCGAATCACTGTAATGTAGTCTGTCATGGGCTTATCAGCGCGACCCAATTAAATTAACGATTCCTTAGCAGGCCAAAAATGCTTGTCAAAACGGTTAAAATTAAACTGTCGATAAGACATTTGTTTCTTCCAAGTCAAATAATCAAATTAAAAAAAAACACTCATCCCGTATTTTTCGCTCCATTACGCTAAAAAATAGAAATTACACATTTTTTTTTCTACACGAAGAAACTTTAAAAAATGGAGATGTTACATTTACAAAATGACGCGTAAGAAATAATAACTAAAGAAAATAAATAATAATATATAATTTCCTCCTGTTTGTATAAAAATACTGAAAAAGGATTTTTTCCTTTGAATTTCATAAATTTTCGCGCACTTTTCTGTTTTCCTGAAAATATGGGGGTTTTAGCGGTAGATAGGCGAAAAATAAAAATCGACGACTGATAAGAGAATTAATTTTTGAACGAGTCAGATCGGTCGAGATGAATCAGTTAATGAAATGTGGAAGTGAAAGATATAAGAATGAAAGCTCCAGCAAACACGCGCTCAAACCAAAGTATTTTATCGCCTCTCCGCACATCCTGGTTACACTTCTCTAATCGGGTTTTCTAAATGGGACGCAGAGTGGTCTCGAGGACATTGTCCATTTCCTCTCAGTTTCCCACTGTCATTCGCTATACCACCCCCGCTAAGTACTATATCTCATTATTTCGTCATCGTTAAATTAATAAACGTACAAAAATAACGAGAATAACAAAGTGGTGTTTATTATTTTCCTCGCGAATTATCAATTTTTCCTCCGGAATGTCAGTATTACGATTGGTATTTAACTTGTGTATTTTATTTATCCAACCAAGTGATTCCGCCCGAAAAGAATCGGGGAATGCAATTTTTGTTAAAATATTAAAACTGCTCAAGAATTAATGGCACGAGTCAATTAATTAATTACCATGAATAGACTCTGTAATTTTCAACATAGCGTAATAAACATAATCCACTGGTACATGTCAGTATAGCTTATTAATTAGCTGCTGTAGGTGGCGTATCACCATGCAGACAATAGAAGTTCAAGCGATCGTTATGGAAACCGGTAGGACAATACACCAAAAGCACCATCAGGGCTGGTTTCACTGGAGAATTCAGCAACCAAAATCCCATTTCACTGTATACGTTGCTCGAATAACCCTGGGATGCGTCAGTAGAACGTAAATGCACGTTGAAAAAAAAATATGCCCTCTTTGTTGGGATTGCAGCTCGGATTGGACTGCTTTCGGGTAATTGAGGATTGAATGACGCATTTTACAGCATCATCGAAAAGGCTGGCGTTATGGGGACTAAATATTCGTCAATCCACGGTCGTCATTGAATTTCAAAATACCCGGAGAGAAATATTCAATAAAAATTATGAATTACCCAGCGAAAATTACGGACATATAGGTCACGTAATTCATAATCTCATTGAAGATTTTTTTTTCGGGGAATTGGAATGGAGGAAAATCAACTTTTCCGTAATTTATCAAGTTTATGAAATTTGCCATTGAGAAAAGTTTTAAATTGTCAGTGATAATATTGCTCGGCAAAATTATTGAAGCATTTCCCGAATTTAATATTATTTTAATGAAATTGGTTGAATAAAATATTGATGGTTTATTGAGGTTTTAATTAGTTTTTAATTATTTGCGGGGGCGTATGCGCCCCGATGAATGAGTATCTCCCCTCCCTCGGTCCTCTTTCATACAAAGTCGTCCTCCTCTGGGCTCTTCTTCATGCGAGTCCTCAGTACTCACCAGGAGGTGACCAGAGCCTCTTCTACAGAACGTGTATTCCATTAAGGATTAAATATTCTCCCAGTTCCATCACTTGTACTTCCACTTCGAGTTCTGATGTTCCATTGTGATTGATTTCGCACACTTTTTTTTCGTGATTTTTATGGGATATTGAACTGTTCTTGAAAGTGATACGATTTTGCAGAGATTTATTCCGTGCGAGATTTGGAACGAGCACGGTTCCATCATGCGCCAACGATTTTGGTGAGTACTTCATCATAATATTTATTTTAATTACGCAATTATGAATGTGGATTACTGGAATTAATGCTGGCAATAAATTGGGGATTGTGATAATGAAAACTAGAGATGATGAAATAGAAAATGAAAAATTTGATAATTTAGTGATAAAATCCGGCGAATCCATCCGAAGATGGTCTCGTGGATTACCTAGGGCGATAGTGCTTCCTTTACTAATTTTTTATTTGCCCTCGTAAAATAATAAACCCTTGAAACTCACAGACGTTCCTATCTCATCTTGCCATCGAAAAATGAATAATTAAGTCATGTAAATAATGGATTTCTGAGAAAAAATAAAATTTTCATATGAACGATTTCGATAAATAAATTATTGGAAATATCTTGAAATTCCAGACACAAAGGCATTTGAATATTCAATTACACGAGCATGCCTTCAATTTCAATTGAAGTCCAACCAAATTAATATTATTTATCTTCAACGATAATTTACCCAGATTAAATAATTCCCTTGTAATAAAAACGTAATTAATTTTTTGATACCGAAAAATAACGGGATTTCTCCCAGTAGAATCCTCAAGAAATTCCAAAATGTTTTCGTTTGAAATTCCAATCGTAATTATCCAAGAGTGAAATCGCGCTAGAAAGGGCGATTAATTTGTTAATTAATTGAGTTGTCAGGGTAACACGTGGCTATTTGGGGTAGGACTCGTCAATTAAAACGAGAAGTCAAGCGATGCTATACAGGAGAGTAACTATTGCCAGTTATGGTTTTGGTGAAGGCAATTAGCACGAGACACAGTGAAGATGAGGGCTCGTTGATCATCGAGCTGTTCTCAGACTGAAAACGGAAGGAAATAACCGCCCTGGAGATTTTTTTAAAAATTTTTTTGTGGTCCAGAGTGTACGCAGTCTCTCCTCCCGACATCTAGACTCGGAGTTCCTCCGTGGCGCGCATTTCGGTTCAGTCAGTGCCCGACAACCGTACGCGGAGGTGGTGTTAATTTACAAAGTCGTTTCTCACTCGTTATTCATCCACTGAGGATTGTCAATCACCTCATAACAATATACACGCCGCTCCAGGATTTTCCAGATAGGAGTGCACACAACATCATGACACGCAGCACGTGGTTAGTCATTAATTATTTATTGAAAATTAACCGAATCGATTGAACGGAATTTTCGGGAGGTACTGGCTCCCGCCATTACCACGCGCCATGTTGTTGTTTTTCTTTTGTCATTGTTGAATGTCATTGTTCTGTAGGGTGATTTTTGTGTTAGTGATTTTCGTGGATATGGGAAATGTTATTTCGGGAAATAGCGGTGATATGAACAAAGGAAAATCGGTGAGGATGACTTTTTGGCGGGAGGGGGCGATGTTTTTTTTATTTTTTTTTGGTAGCATTGGGGTGGAGAGAGAGTTCGTGTTGAAGAGTTTAGGAATTAATCGAAGAGCGATTTCTATATTGTTTTGATGAGCTTTTTTTTTGTAAAATCGTCTTGTTATCCCATCTTCATCGCCTAGCGTGATACTACCTAGTTTAGCTCGTCGGTTCACATTGAAAACGTTCGGTTTTCACATTAGCAAAAAGGGCTGGGTACCCCGGAGGGCGATTATCGCGTGACTCCACGGATACTCGCACCCGGAGGTATTCCCAATATGTTGTATTTAGAATCCGTGATCCCAAGATGAGAGAATTTTCGTCGAGAATATCGTTAACTCCTCTCACGAGGATCACTGGTTACTCGTGACTCACGAGGTATTCCCCATATCTTGGATTAGTCGAGAAAAATCTAGGCTCTATTTGGATTTCACCTCGAAACCTCAAAAAACCAATCTCACCACCATCATCCCACCATTTTTTCAAAGTATCAACTCAACATTAATTCACCAATTCTCATAATTGAAATTCATCATTTCACCGGTAAAGACAAATCCGTGAAACATTGAATCCATTTTTTACAGTCACAAATCACCAGAATGCCCATTAATTTTCATTTTTCAATTCCAAAAGTTAAACGAAGTGGTCATTCATTTTTTATGCTCCTATGCAATTGACTGTAACTCTTTGAAACAGTACGATTTTCCCAATCCATCATCCACAACTCTATAAGCCATAGCTAAAAATCCATAGCACCATAAAAACATGATAAAATAGAATATAAAAAAAAAAATGAATTCACCCAGTTATCCACGGCAAACAATTCGCGTTGGTATTCCCATCGATGCGAGGGCGCGAAAAATCGAGCGAATGGAGTGCAATAAAAGAAAAAAAATGTGGGAAAAGAGACAGAGGGTTTGAATATATACCCATCAGCAAGAGTCCTCGTAAACTCGTGCTTTTTCCGCTTGTTCACTCTCTTTCTCATGTGACAGGGCATTGGACAACATGTGTTTTCCCATACTGTCATTCTCAACACCATTTGTCAGCCCCAAGAGCATCTACTACATCTAAAATTCTCTAGTGTAAAAAAAAACGAGAAAGAAAAGATACGCCAGAGAATTTCTTGGGAAAAATTGAAAATCCTGTTAATTTTCCTTTAATTAATGGACTTGATTCCGTTAAATCGTCCAGTTTATTAATTTTTAATTGGCCTGTCTAAGAGGCTCTCCGGGAATTTTCTAATGCATTTTCCATGAATGAAAGGACCGCCAATTAAATCTCCCTTCATCTGAAGCAAGTCACTGTGGGAGTGGTTTAGATGCAATGATGAAGACAGCAGGTTCTTACATTTTTTACCGTCAGGATTTTCTGGTTTACAACGTGTATACCACCTGTGGGGGATAAAAGGCTCATTGTCACGAATACTTTCTTGAATCTGAGTTGCTTGAGGCAGGACAATACCTCGGTAATACTGGGTTACACCCTCGGGCACTGTCATGGTACTTTGCACCGAAGCCAGTGAATATTTAACAGGATATTCAATCTTCTGAGAGGATGGCAAAGTTCCTCCGATCGGATATAAAATCGTACCTCCGTAACTTAATTGAAAACTCAGTCAATACTTTTTCGAAATATTCAACAGGTTTGTTTTTCTTCTTCTCTGTTTCGTTCATTCATCAAT